GTTTACCTTTCCTGTGTCATCGAGCTCATGGGACCTTGATCTGCTCACACATCATATACAAGAGCCTTCCCATTAAAAATGTGACCGGTCCAAAGAACTTCAAGGAGAAGACTAGAACTTCCTCATCAGACACCTAGAGTTCTAGGGGCTTGTTTCCTTCTCACCACAATAGGAGCTGCTCAAATAATAGCCAGAGCACTTGAATGTCCATCTCTGTTGGAGCAATCATAGAACTAACAGAGAACAGAGCCAGAAAGTGTCATATAAAATATATATGCTGTGCTTTGAGGGAATGGAGAACATCTGATCTTCCCTATTCAGAACAAAATATCTATGATATCCCTGCGGTCAGACACACTGGAGAGTCACATTCCCTCCTGAGGTCACTACAGGGCTGGGCAGAATTGACAGGCTGGATTTACATTAGTGATTTCTGGGGTCTGCCCTACCACCCCCATCTCCTGGAAGAGGTTACAGTCTGTACTGAATGGAAGTTAACAATTAAGCAAGGCCTCTTTCCTTTATATCTGCAGAAACTGAAGTCCAATCAGAGGAGGTTCTTGTCTAAATCGTCATCTCCAGATGACTCTACATCAAAGGCATAGCTACCTCTGGGCCCCCAAGATCCTACCTTCCAGCACAATCTTTACTTAGTACTCTTGGGGCCTGACTCTACAGGAATACAGATTTGAATGTCAGGGCCTGACAGAATAGGAAGAGAAGGTGGGAGTGTTGGGCCTCTTTTCACTACCTCACCCTAGCTGCTCCTCCCCAGGTATCACCCAGTTCTTAGCCCTCTAGTCATCTGGAGACCCTGCTGAAATCCTATCTTAACTTCTACGACCTGGATACAAGCTGACTGGCACAAGAACAAGGACTTAGATAGACTCAGAGTGACAAGCTGGGATGGAGCAGAATCCCTCAATAGAGGACACTGCCCTGCACCAGCTGATGGGGTGGGCCTTGAGGGGAGAAGATGGAAATCCAGAGAATCACAGGGAAGAGACAAAAGAACAGTGAGAGTGGACGGCCTCCTGAGGCCCATTTCATAGCACTGATGTAGTTCTGCAGCCTCACAAGAACTCTCCTGCTGAGCACCTGGAACTTTCTAGATTCTGACGAATGAGGAGGGCTGTGTATTACTTGAAGAACCACTGATAGCCTCTCTGTGAATCCTCACCAGACTGACTGCCCCTAGGATCCATTCATTCACATCTCAACCAAGATCCCTCCTATGTGGAGGATCCTGAATCACCTCCTTCAGCTCACAGATGTTAGGGTCACCTCACCTGAGACTACAAGTTCCACAGTGTCACTGGGGTGTGACAACAGGTAGGGGGACGAGCTTCGAGAACCATAGCACCTGTGAGTGCCCCTGAGGGCCGAGGTCACAGCACTCATGGAGAATTCTGCCTTATACAGTTGATCTTCGAGCTTTGATCTTTGATGCAGGTGTGGATGGGCCATCCCCTCTTTGTAGAGAAGGAAAGTGTCTATTGGAATCTGTGACTGACACAGCAGGGTCACCTTCATTCCTGAGGACACTGTGGGGCCTGGATGCACTGAGAGGGAGGGTGTGACAGAAGGCTGTCCTGGAGAGAAAGAGGGTGGGGTGAGAGGATTCCCATTTGCTCTGAGTCCCTGTCTGTTTTCTCCGACTGCCCTTCCCCCACTCTCCTGTCTCCCAGCCTGTTACTCTCTCTGAGATACCAAACATCATCATGAACATCGACTCCCTGGGTTCCCACAGTACGGTCTGTACACAATGTGGGTTCCTGAGTTGACCAGCTGAATACCTCACCTGTGATTAGTATTTCAAGATCGTCACTGGGGGCAGAAAATTCAGAGGTTTTGGGTAACATAGCATCTATAGCGGCCCCCAGGGAAGAGGCTCACATGACCCAGGGTGAAATGGGCCTGGTAGAGCCCAGTCTGGAACTGATGGCCAGGGACACATGTGAGATCATTCAGCCCCTCTTTGGACAGAGCAAATGGGTCGTAGTTGATGTTAGAGTGACACATAAGGGTTAAGTTATCTCCAGGACTCAGGACAAGGCCTTGCTGTGTCTGCAGGGAGGGCTTCCTGGATAGTCCTGGAAGGAAGGTGGGTTGGTGGTTAAGAAGCTGGTTCCTGAAATACTTGCTCCCTCATTCTCTACTGAAATTGTCACCACCTCTCCCCATGGAGCTCTGGCTCAGGACTAAAATGCTCTCAGCTGCCCACCCCGCAACTTGGAACTTTCCTGGGAGCAGAGCTCATGATAAAGCATTTCTGGTGTCCAAAAATGACTGGGTAGATGAGACTTCCTCACCTGAGACATGTATTTCCAGGGGGTACTGGACTCTGACCACACCTGCGGGGTATCTTTGTAATATCCATAACATCTGAAGATTGCTCTCTTTCCGGGTGTCTCAACGACCACAGGAAACAGGGCCTACGATTGTCCAGAGTTTATATACTGAACTTCCAGGCAGCTAGAGAATATCTGATCTTCCCTAGTCAGAGTGAACCCATCATAGCTCTGCTGTGAGACACACTGAAGGGTCAAGTTCCCTCCTGAGGTCACTACAGGTCTTGGCAGGGCTGACAGGCTGGGTTTCCTGTGGTAGATGCCTAGGAGAGGAGAGGACATCCTGCTAAATGAGATCACACCGCCCACATAGCCCCCCAGGGCAGGGTTGTGAGAAGAGGACACCACGGAGGGAGGACCTTTGTCCCAAGGACACAGGCTGGGCCTGGGAACACTGAGTGGTCTCTCACCTGTCACCACCAGCTCCAGGGTGTCACTTCATTCTGACCAGCCAGCAGGGCTGTAAGAATAACAGTGATACTTCCCTGCATGTCCCTGGGTCATGGACGAGATGGAGAACTTAGCCTTGTTCCCAGGCTTCAGTGGGTTTTGTATGTTCCAGGGTGCTGAGCTTCCCTCTTTATGCAGAATGTATATTCGGGTCTCCAGGGTCCCCTGACACCAGATGGTCACAGGACTCCCATAAGTAATCAAAGAGCCTTGCTCAGCCATGATGGTGGGTTTGTGGAGGATTCCTGCAAAAAAAGGAGATGAGAAGAAGGTGGTTGGTTCTGCTTGAACATGCAACAGCAATAGTCAAACACGTAGCTGATGTGTGATTTGCAGAGACCAGTGGAGCCATGTGAAAACCTTTCTCTTTCCTGAATCTCACTATGTCCCAGCTTTAGTTTCTCTCTTCTCACTCCCACATTGCATGCTGCTTCCCTGGGATCAGGACGCCTGGCTGACCTCACCCAACACATACCAGGGCCTCCTCTGTGAACCTGTGTCAGGTATAACATCATTGAATCAACAGTCTGGGTCCACCTGACCTGAGATCAGGAGCTCCAGGATGTCAGTGGATTCTGACCACACCTGGGGCTTGCTGCTGCAATAGCCATAACATCTTGCCTCCACCTCTGGCTGGAGGTCACAGGGATCGCAGGGAATAGAGCTTGGAACTGTCTAGGGTAAATATAGTGAACTGAGAGGGAGTTGGAGAACTTACGAGCATCTCTAGTCAGAATGAGCTCATCATATCTCTGCTGTGAGATACACTGGAGGGACATTACCCTCCTGAGGGTATCACTGGGCTGGACACAGCTGACAGGCTGGGTTTGCTGTGGGAGATGCCTAGGAGATGAGGAGAAAACATGTTAACTGAGATCACACAATCCACATTGACAACAGGTCTGGGCTGGGAGATGACCCCTTGGAAAGAAGACATTTATCCTGGGTACAGAAGCCTGACACCCATAAGAACACTCTACCTGTCACCACCAGCTCCAGGGGGTCGCTGTATTTGGTCCAGCCATAAGTGTTGTAAGAATAACAGTAATATTTCCCAGCATTCTGTGTTGTCATGGATGGGATTTTGAACTCAGCATTATTGTTGAGAACCTTTGTGGCCTGTCTGTCCCAGGGTGCTGAGCTTCCTTCTTTATGCCGAATATACAGCTGGGTCTCCAGGTTGCCTCCACACCAGATAGTCACAGGACTCCACGCGGTAACCACAGATCCTGGCTGAGCCCAGATGGTGGGTTTCTGGATGATCTCTACAAAGAAGTAGATTAAGCAAGAGGTGGATGTGCGTGGAAATGTTACCGAAGCTCACCTTGAAATAGCAATGAAGACCCGCTTTTTCATGGGCATCCAGGTATTTCTCTCACTGTCCAGCCTGCATTCTGTATCTCGGGTATATTTGTCTCTCGTGCCCTAACATATGGAGATCAAGAGCCTTGACTCTCCCCACCCATATACAGCACTCCATCCCCTTTTTTCCTATGTCTGGCCCAGCATCATTTAAGGGGAAGACTAAGGTTTACCTGACTCCATAAGTTCCAGGTTTTCACTGGATTCTGACCATATGTGAGGGTTGGTCAAGCCATAGCATTTGAATATCCACCTCTGTTTGTAGGTCACAGGACCAACATAAAATTGAGCCTGGACTTTCCCAGTGTGTATATTTTGTGAGACCAGAGAGACGGAGAAATTTTCATTTTCCTTCCTTAGGACGAAGCTCTGATATCCATGATCTGACACACACTGGAGGGTCACATTCCCTCCTGAGGTCACCACATGGGTGGGCAGGGCTGCCAAGCTGGGTTTGCTGTGGATTCCTAGGATAGGAAGGAGGACTGAAAAGGGATTCATGTCTCACACATTCTCCTCAAGGGCTGGGCTGTGAGAAGACATTACCTAGAGAGTGCACTCTTCCCTGAGGGCAGAGCCTGGAGCTGGTCACTCAGTGTCCTCTTACCTGTCACCACCATCTCCAGCGTGTCACTCGCCACTGACAGGCCAGCATGAGTCTTATAGTAACAGCAACACCCTCTTGCATGGTGCCATTCAAAGGATGGGATGATGAACTTCACTTTGTTCTCAGCTTCCAATGTAATCTTTCTGAGCCAAGGATCTGGACTTCCCTCTTTATACAGATAGTACTCCTGAACACCTGGGGGCCCTTCACATGAGATGTTCACCAGGGTGTGGGCAGTGAACACAGACTTTGGTTCAACTGTGATTTTAGGCTTGGGTGGGATTCCTGCAAGGAAATCACTGTCTGGGCCTCAGGACAGCCCCCCCCACATCTCAGCTCTGACTCCAGGACCTGTCAGCCATCACAGCATCTGTCATCACCTGATGTTATCCATCTCCACCCACTAGGGGAGACTCGTTTTCCCACGGAGGATGCATAAGAAGGGAAAGATGGGAACACACTCACCTGCCAGCACTGGGTTCCTGGGGACAAGGGTCAGTCCTGGAAGAGAGTACCCTGTGAGGGTTTGTCCTTGAACCATAAGTATGTCCTCCCCTACAAGGTGCCTTCTGAGCTCCTGAAATGTCCTGTTGGGCCAACGCCTGGTTGCGGTGGTTTCCTCCAAGACTAGAATTCCTCTTCTCCAGTTTTATTTCTCACCAAGGCAGAGCAGGGCTGTGAGGGTGGAGGTCATGGCGTCCTCTTCCAGGGCAACTGTCGTGAAGAACGTTGGTCCCTTTGCCAAATGTCAGAAGCACTGAGCATGGCTGTTGGTGGCTGTTTCTCCTTCCGGTGACAAGGGTGTGGCTTCAGTAGAAATGCAGGAAGGGGAACTGCTCTCTTCAGGCTGTTTTCCCCCATCGTGCTGTGGCTTGTCTGTGGCACCAGAATCTGAAGTTTCTGCTGCTCTTTGTTTTGTGTTTCTAAAATAGTCCTTCATGCAGCCCAGGCGGTATCAAACTCCTGATCCTCCCCCCTCATTCTCCCGTGTGCTGGGATTACAGGCCCATTTCCACCTCTGGTCTCATCTTAGAAATGGCATCGGCCTACAGCCCAGCCACATCTGACTGAACAGTTTTCATGTCACCGAGGACCAAGATTCAGCAACAAATAGACCTGGTCCCTTCCGGAGACAAAGTCTTTCAGGTGATGGTTAATCGAGGCTTGAATTTCTATCCCAGAGCCTCTTTACTGGGTCTCCTTCACTCCTTCAACCAGAACTTCTTTGCAGTGTTCTGGGGTTCCTACCATGGCCAGTCATCTGAAGATGCTATAGGGATCTTCTGTGAGCTTTGCAAAGTGGGACAGGAGCAGATGCGTACTTCCCCTACAAGGGGCAGTAAGTGGGAAAAACAAAACAACAATGAAACAATCTCCCAGATGACTTATATCCATACCCAGGTGCCAAGGATCCAAGTGGAACCGACTGTGACTAGTAATAATCAAATACATAGAGATTAAAGACACATGTGCAAATATCTAAGTTTTAATAGCATTAAAAATGTTGAGAACAGCATACCTTAAAATGAAATGGGCTCCCAACCTGCACTCCTATCCTCAGGCCTCTTGGGCTATGTCTCTCACGCAGCCCTCTGCGCCTTGACTTCCCCAGCCTCATTCACCCTTCCATCTCGCCCACTGTTCTCTACTACTAGTTTGGGCCCTGTGCCATTCCTAGTCTTGGGCCCCCAGACACCTGGGGAACCAATACTGCTTCCTGATCCTTTTCACCCAGACCAACTTAGTGCCTTCCTTGGGCCCCAGGAGCACTGCTTTTGGACCTGGCCCCTCCCTCACCTCTCGCTGCTTCCCTGGACCTGCACCACCAGCTAACTCTCCTAGCCTGCTCTCCTACCCTCAGGCCTCTCTCGGGGTAAGTCTTTCACGGAGCCCTCCACGCCTTTGCTCCCCCAGCCGCATTCACCCTTCCATATCCCCCACTGTTCTCTACTCCTAGTTTGGGCCCCATGCCATTCCTAGTCTTGGGTCCCCAGACACCTGGGGAACCAATACTGCTTCCTGATCTTTTTCACCCAGACCAACTTAGTGCCTTCCCTGGGCCCTAGGAGCACTGCTTCTGGACCTGGCCCCACCCTCACCTCCCAGACCTGGTCCTGCAACACCCGCCAGCCTCTTTCTGGGGCTCCGAGTCTTACCTTTCCTCTCCCTGATCCTTTGCATCCAGTACAACCCAGCTACTCAATCCACTCCCTGGGAAATCTTGGGGCTTATTCCCACCCCATCTGCCTTTGCATCCCTGCATGGCACGCTCACGGCCAGGATCTCAGGTCAGTCCAACACCCAAGTTCTGAGGCCAAAATCATTCTTAGAAGATTCCAGACCTAAGGAGAGAGTCTGAACACTTCTGACCCACATTGGAATTGGGCCACCGCGGAACTCATGAAGACAAAATCAATCCGGCCTCAACAATATAAAATCAAAAGAGAGAACCAGAAGCTTAGACAAACCAACTCTTCATACCCAAAAAGTAAACCACAAAGACACATAAAGCTCAAAATAGAAGCAGAACTAAACTTGAAGGCCCAAGTATCACACAAGAGTGAGAAACTACAAAAGAAATTCACATGTCAAAATCACAGAGAAAAAATAATAACATGAAAAACTAAAATAACATATGC